GAGAGAGAGAGAGAGAGAGAGAGAGAGAGGAAGGGGGGATGGGGTTGTTACCTGGATGGCAAGTGCAGTATGTGAGGTTCGGAGCAAGGAGGGTTAATTCGTGCTATGTCTGTTGTGTATGGTTTGTCTTGCGTCTGTTGGTGAATGGTTCTTGCCTGTCTTGTTGTATGAGGCCTTGATGTTTGAATGCCATGTGTTTGAGGTGCCTCCAGTAGCTGTGGGATGTGATGCAGAGTTATTTTATGATGAAGATTGTTTGCAGTAATGTTTCCTGCATGCCTGGCTCTGATTCACTTCCCTTACTCTTGTTTTTTTTTTGCGGTTACAGGGTTCTACCGCAGTTGTCAGTGGCCTCAAGGGTGCGGTTGTGCTTGGTTTATCATCCTCCTCTGGAACTGCGGCTGTACCCTTAGCTCAGACCATGGGAGAAGACAAAGAGGCAGGGTCACGTAAGAGTGCTAGGCATACCCGACGCATAGCGAGGCAAGGGAAAGCCACAGGAAGCCATTTACAAGGTCTGGAGAACGAGGGTGGGGGTGGAAAGGAGCTGGCTGCTGGTAGCCAGTCTGGATTGTCGATGTTGGATGCATCCGACAGCTGGAAGGGAGGCGTGGTATCAGGTGTTAGGATGCCTGGTGCTAGCGTGCAGGAGCTGATGCAACATTGCCCCCCATTGGGTGAAGAGGGAAGCTCCGAGGATAGAGTATGCAGAGGTCTCACAGGACTAGAGCGGGGGCCTGGTCAACACCCTGCAGGCGCTCCTGGTGAGGTTTCAGAGGACGAGCAAGATGGGGATGATGAGAGTGAGGAGGAGCAGGGCGAGGAGGAAGAGGCCAGTGAGGGAGAGAGAAGTGGGACAGGTGGTCCCCGAAGGAAGAAGCGAAGGATGGCTAAGGTGACAGCTGTTGAGGAGGAGTTGGGGGGTGTTTGTACAGATGGTGTGGCCGTGGGACTAGACTCCGGTGTTGGTGAAGTTGAGGGGCCTGAGGGGTTCCCATCAATAGTTATGAATGCTCCAGAGAACCCTTTTGCAGCGAGCGACGAGCATCTTGATCTGTTCATGGCCCAGGGCCAGTCTCATCATCATTTGGCCTTGGATATGGTGGGAATGGATGAGGACGAGTCAGAGGATGATGACGATGATGGTGAGGGTGACGAGGATGATACTCGGGACGACATGTTGAATCTGGTGCAACAGCTTGGGCCTCCTGCAGGATTCATGCATGGCACTCAGCACATGGTAATGGGCCAGGTGGGGCTTCCTCATCATATGGTAATGCAGCAGTCAATGATGGTGAGTACGCCGAATCTGGCAGCAGCAATGTTGCAACCAGCATCCATGTTTGGGCCACCACATATGGTAGGAGCTCCGGGCCTTATCGGTGCCCCGCATGGAATGATTCCCACATCGAATATGGTGGGACCTCATGGGGTGATGCACCCACACAGCCAGGGGCTGGCTGCACCTCACATAGTGCCAACCCCTTATGGGTACTCCTCAGGTCACTTGCTGAGTGGTGGTGGGATGTCGCGCTTGGGCAGTGCCCGTTCAGTGCAGAAAAAGGGGGGACTGGGCACAGATTCTGCTGCCGAGGATGAGAGGGAGCTGGCAACGCTGAGCGAAAGTGTGGGATTCCGACGGAAGGACGATATGCGGCAGCACCATGGCTTTGACTGGTCAAAAGGAATGGGAATGGATGGGTCTGACCATCGCGGCGGTGGGAGGGAGGCTCGGATCTATCGCTGTAGTAAGTGCGGTGAACCGAAGAAGGGGCACATCTGCTTGGCAAAGATAGGTGGAGGGGGGAGGAAAATGAGATCTGTGGGGGCTGGTCTTCTGGACCAGCACGTACTTTCCAGACAGGTTACAACCTCGCACAAGAACAACAACAAATCAGCGGATGTGAAAGGAGGAGTGGGAGAAATAGAATTTGAAAAGGTAGTGCCGCAGTCTGATGGGATGGGTGAAACTGTCAAGTCAGTGACTGAAGATTGTGCAATAAGTGAGGACCTTGTTGCAGACATGGATGGCATTGATGGGGACGTTGCTGATGGGGCAGCAGAAATGGAAATGCCGGGTCTAGAGGCAACGAAGGCCGAGGAGCTTGGCGAGGAACCTAATGAACATGTTCAAAAAAATGGGGGTGAGGGTGTGGAGCCTACCGCAACTGCCTGCAACCCAGGCAAGTCTGGTCATGAGGTCGATTCGTCTGTTCCAAGTTCTCTTCACAATGGGGTGGAGAACAGTGGCTGTGGAAACTTGCAGCAGTCCACTGCAACTCCATTGGTCCCACCTCCGTTTTCACCATCAGCTAAGGACAGCACTTTCCCGCCAGGTCCAGAGAAAAACGTAGAGGCGTCTGATCCACCTCACGAGGCGATGGAGGCAAGTGGTGTTGCAAGTGGTGTTGTTTCAGCATGCCGTGAGCTGCCACTTGGGAGCAGCCCCATGGCTGATGCCGATAAGCTCAGTCCTTGCAATAATGGCACACAAGGGAATGTCTTGGCCGATCCGCAGAGTGTTAGTATCACAAAGGATGCTGATTCTGAGATCGCTGCGGATTTGCCATTATTGACCGCGGTACCTGCTGTCCCATCATCACCCCTGCGTCAACAATCACCTATTTGTCGATCTCCGACTCATTCTGGCTCACTTCCAGTCCCGCCAGTCCTACAAACCGGTTCCTCATCACTCACTCCTGCCGCCCCTCCTGCTGCTCCTCCCGCTGCTGCTCCTGTTGCTGCTCCTGCTGCACCACCGCTTGCTGCTGCTGCTGCCGCTCCTCCACTAGTTGCTGCTGCTGCTGCTGCTGGCCCCCCACCACCTCTTCCTCCTAGCATTCAAGCAACAGCTCAGCTGCCTCCGCGATCTCCTTTGCAGGCACCGCCCCCACCTCATCCTTCTGGGGCTCCTCTTCCCCCTCCTGCTCCTCGCCCAGCTGCTGCTTCGAAATCGTCTTCGCGATCAAGGTCGACTTCCCCTTTCAATTGCATGCCGCCTCATGTTTCAGGATCTCCCAGTATTATCAATCGAACTTGTTCTTCACCAAAGCGGCAGCTGCCAGCAGAGTCCCTCGCTGCTACATGGGAGTCGATGTCCCCTTTGCTTCCACCGCAGCCTACCTCAAGATCTTTTGTGACACCTGAGAGTGGGAACTCCTTAGGTTCTTATTCCCTCGCCGCAGCACAGCATGCAGCTGCTGGGCGGCTGAGTGCAAGGATGTCACAGTTGGCAGAGGCTCCTACAAATGCCAAGACCTTATTGGGAAGCGGTGTTCTTGACGGAGAGACTGTCAAGTACATTGATCGGTCAGGGAAGGTCAGTTTCGTACATCTTCGTCACCTGTGACCATTCTAGTTGAACTAGGCATGCTAAATATGGAATCTGAGGCATGTGTCATGATATGTGTGTGCATGTGTGCATGTGTGTGTGTGCATGTGTGTGTGTGTGTGTGTGTGTGTGTGTGTGTGAGAGAGAGAGAGAG